GCCCTAACAATTGATGTTTTCTTTTCATTCCTTTCCGTAACAATTTGTTTGAGTACACGTTTTCTGACATCCTGTCCAGCAGTGTTATCCCTCTTTTTAATCTTTGCTCAAGTATCTGGAGTAAAATAATATTTCACTGTTATTTTAGTTCCTATTTCCTTGTCTGCTAGCAAGCTCATTTGCCTTCCATGCTTATTGGCTTTTTGGATTTTCTCATCTTGAACTTCCTATTTATAGATTTTGCCCAGTTTTCTGTTGGTCTGTATTTTGCAGTCATTTGCTGTCTTTTTATGACTTCTGAGTTTTAGTTAAGACATTTGTACCCCCAGATTGTTCACGAAGTCATCTGCATTTTCTTTCAAGAGGTCTGTTGATTCTTTCATGTACATTTATCTTTAAAACATCAGAATTTATTTTTATTTCTGGTGTCAAATAGTGATGTACTTAAGAAAACTATATTGAGTACCTACTCTTCACTTAACAGCATGTCTCTAAGCTGAAGTGGAATCAGTCAAACCTCTTAGCATCTCCAAACACTTGCCACGTGCAGTCGTCTGTGGAAAGGCAGGAGGTCAACACAATGGAAGGCATAGTGTCCACCATCCAAAAACATATGGTCCCACTATTTTAAAAAAAAGTCACAGGTAAAATTAGTAAGTGGCAAGAAGTATAAGATTCAGTGTTGTATTATTTTGCTAAGGCTGCCGTAACAAAATTTCACAGACTTGGGATTAAACAACAGAAATGGGGGAGGGTATAGCTCAGTAGTAGGGTGCCTGCTTAGCATGCATGAGGTCCTGGGTTCAATCCACAGTCCCTCCACTAAAATAAATCAGTAAATAAATAAACCTAATTACCTCCCCCCAAAACAAAAAAACAAACCAACAAACAACAGAAATGTTATTTCCTCACAATTCTGGATGTTAGATGTCCAAGATCAATGTGTTGGTAACGTCGCCTTCTTCTGAGGCCTCTGCTTGGCTTAGAGGTGCTGTCTGCTCCTTCTGCCTTTATATGGTCTTCTTTCAGTGCCTGTCTGTGTCCTCATCTTCTCTTCTTTTGGGGACGTCAATCACGTTGAATTAGGGTCCACCATAGTAACCTCACTTAAAAGACGCTTTCTCCAAATGCAGTCTTATTCTGAGGAACTGGGGGTGAGGACTTCAATGTATGAATTTTGAGGGGACACAGTTTAGCCCATAACACATTCCAAATAATCTGTACAGCCTGTAAGTACCATTGGTGGTCACATGAGGAGGAAAGCCTTGGACAGTCAGTGGAAGCTTCATGGAAGAGCTAGAGGCAGAGACAGGCGCTGAAGGACGCTTCTGATTCGGTGAGGCCAGGAAAAGTCTTTCTGTGAGAATAAGCG